CACCCCCCCATGACCCTTAGCACGACCACTACCCCTCACCTCACCATGACCCCGCATGCCACCACGACCCCTCACCCCATCACGATCCCTCACCCCACCACAACCCCGCAACCAGCCACAGCTGCTCACCCAGCCACAACCCCTTTCCCCACCAGGACCACTCACCTCCCCACGACCTCTCACCCCACCACCACCGCTCAACCCACATCAACCCCTAATCCCATCACAATCCCTTACCCTGTCACTGCCCCTCACTCCACCACGACCCCTCGCCCCACCACGACCCCTCACCCTACGACCACTCCTCACCCCGCCTTGGCTCCTGGCCCTACCTCAGCCCCTGTGGTCACCACTAAGTCCCTTCTAACTTCCTTGGAGACAGAACTCCCCTTCCCCACTCCCGCACCGACAGCCAAGCCCAGCCTGCACCCCCAGTGGACCTTCACGGGGGCCCCTCGTCCCTCCCCACCCCATGTGTCGAGCCTAGAGCCCTCTCCAGACTCAGCGTCCAACCCCTCCAGCCCCCCTCCAGCCCCAAGCACGGACGCCCCATGCACGGAGGACTTCAAGCCATTCAGCAGCCAGGGCCACGGACTAACCCCTCCACCTCCTCAGACCCCGCACGCAGCCCCTGACCCCACTGTGAGGCCGGACCTCCACCTGCCCCCCATGGCCCACCCCGTAGAGCAACCTCCTCCTGACAATCTCACCCCGGGGCCAATCCCCGGCCAGAGCTCAGGCCCTCTCGGCCCCTGCGTGGCCCCGGTGCCACCTGTCAGGGTCATGGCTTGCGAGCCGCCTGCCCTGCTGGAGCTGGTGGCTGCCGTGAGGGATGTGGGCAGCCAACTGCAGGGGCTGACCCAGGCCCTGGAGCGGGACCTGCGGGAGCGCCAAGCCCTGGGACTGGGGCTGACCCAGCTGGTGGAGGCTGCCCAGGGCCTGGGGCAGCTGAGTGAGGTTGTGAAGAGACTGGCGGAGGTCGCCTGGCCCCCCAGCACACCTGCCCCAACCACCACCACCCCAGAGGAAGAAGAGAGGCCCCTCCGGGGAGACGTGTGACCCTCTCTGGGACCTGAGGGGCGTGAGACATTCCCAACCAAAAAAGGAAAACCAAAGTATCAAATTAAAACCAGATGTGGGTGACGTTTCTGGGGGACTAGAGGAGCCCCTGAGAGATGGCATCACTG